CCTCTCTCTCTCTCTCTCTCTCCCTCTCTCTCTCCCTCTCCCTCTCTCTCTCTCTCTTCACGCTAAAAGCCAAACCAAACGTATGTACAATAGCTAAGTACCTACATGAAAAAATGCAATGAAAATTAAATCATTAGAATTATCATACAATATGTCTGAAAAAGAGTCATCACATTCACACCTCTACAAAAAAAATGTAACCAGTTAATTCTTCAACAAAGTGCTGAACATAAAAAAGCAAAAATTGTACATGGTAAAACATCAACAATTCAATAGGTGGTCGATCGTTAATTCTGTCAACTGCGCAAGGTGTCCCGTGTGACAGCGCAGTTCGGAAGCACGAGGTGGGTGATGGTTGGGGTGTGGTGTGGGGTGGGGGATGAAGCTTCAAGTGCTCCATCAAAATTAAGATATATAGTTAAGGACAACCGGATGAATAGAGTGACAGGGGGTAATATTTTATATATTATATTACATTATTATATATATAAAATGGCCTCAGTGGAGCCTGCTTTGACAGTTAACATGTCTTGTTCCTGTGTGTGTTGCTTTTGTCCCTTCCAGCCCCATGATCCTTATCATAGCTAGATCTAGAGTGGATGGTTGTGGTTGTAGAGTGCCACTGGCAGGTCCTCCTCCTTTACTTTTCTGTCATCTCTGTCCGCTCTGTCCCAACATTAAATAAGCTTTATTGTGTCTTATTCTTATAATGGCTCCTTATGACTCCAACAAACCATGAGCAGCCCCTCCCCCCATCATGATCAGCACAAAGACATGGGCTCGTAATTACCTCCCAGGTGTCTGGGTGGCTTTCAGTGGGTGGCTGGAGGGCGCCACTGGTAGGTCCTGTTTCTTTCCTTTCCCCTCTGTTGTTTCTGTCTGTCTGTCTTACTTTTTCCAAGCACTAAATGACCATTATTATGTCGATGTGCTTCTCTTTACTCAATCAAACAAACAAACAAGGGTAGCTTTGACTGACAGTCCGGAGATAGGAGGAAAAGGAAGGCACTCACAATCTGACCACACCTTCTCAGTCCTCGTCTCAACCACAAACCGGGAGACCTACATCAAAATCTAAATCCATCAAAAACGCCAAACAAAACAGAGGGAAACAAGAATATTCTCCAATAAATACAGTTTAAAAAAAAAAAAAAAACAATAACAAAAAACCACCAGCATAAAACAAAAAAGTACATATATATACTGCCAATTCATTAACAGGCAAAAACAATAAGTACTAGCTCTGAGCAAGCGCGCGTCATGTGCACACACACACATACACATACGTATGCACGCACGCACGCATGCGCGCGCAAACACACACACACACACACAAAACAAACTTTCATTGTTCCCCTTTCTTCCCCCTTCATCCTCCATTCCAATTCCAGTGCAGCAGTTAGTGACCTGTTTATATATAGCAGTTTTGGTAAACAATCCAGGCACGCATACAAGTCTCACAAGTTCCGTACTCCTACTCCTAGGACACACCCACGGCCCATAAACCTAACACTATCTACTCCTAGGACACACCCACGGCCCATAAACCTAACACTATCTACTCCTAGGACACACCCACGGCCCATAAACCTTACACTATCTACTCCTAGGACACACCCACGGCCCATAAACCTAACACTATCTACTCCTAGGACACACCCACGGCCCATAAACCTTACACTATCTACTCCTAGGACACACCCACGGCCCATAAACCTAACACTATCTACTCCTAGGACACACCCACGGCCCATAAACCTAACACTATCTACTCCTAGGACACACCCACGGCCCATAAACCTTACACTATCTACTCCTAGGACACACCCACGGCCCATAAACCTTACACTATCTACTCCTAGGACACACCCACAGCCCATAAATCTAACACTATCTACTCCTAGGACACACCCACGGCCCATAAACCTTACACTATCTACTCCTAGGACACACTCACGGCCCATAACACTACTACCTATCCTAGAATACACTGTTCCCAATACACACAAAGCAAATGTGAGGCATCATGGTGAAATCAGGCGCAGGTCCAAATAAAGAAATCGAAGAAACAGGGTAATTTTTTCTTCCAGTTATTTTTGTCAAATTTTGGTTTTTTGGCTCATCACATTGTATGTCTGTATAAAAACATTTTCGTGTGAAATTTACTGATTAAAAATTCATTACTGGCACAAAATAAGTAGATTTTCAGTTTTCAAGGACTATAGAAGTTACGGTTTGACGGCCATTCAAGATAAACGGGTATTTTTTTCATAGAAAGCAAGGCAAATGAATAAACTTTCAGGCGATACCAAACACTCAACATGCCCAAAAATAGACGAGCGCCTGATTCCACCGCAGAGAGACACAAAAATAGATTTAAAGGTCCCGAATTAAGTCTTCAACATGTATATTCTTTTGTATTTAAAATAGTACACAGCAAAATTCGTACAAAACGAAAAGATTTCTGCATCCCTCAGACTTTGCCGGGAGCACGCCAGACTTTGCTTACAACTTACAAATCATCAACTTACTACAAAATGTTCCGACACAAAATAGAAACCAAAATTTTCGAGTCACAGATAACAACGCACGAGTTTCACACATTAAATTAAACCAGTCGCAATCAAAACAAAACAAAAGTTTGTAAAAAACAGTAATGAACAAGAAAACATCTCTGAGTTCACACACTTAACATTAAAATTGAATGAAAAACAAAAAGTCAAAGTAGTAAGAAGAGCACAAATGCACACAATAAATTAGTCGTCTACACAAACATAGGTTTGTAAACCTGCGAGATGCACCCACACTTCAACGTTCCTGTTGGGGTTTGTCCAAAAATCTTACAAAGCACGCACAAACAACTCTCATCATCATCATCATCATCATCATCATCATCATTTCATCAACATCATCATCAACTTCATCATCATCATAATTTCATCATCATCATGTCATCACCATCATCATCTGAGATGAGACATACTTAACTTGTAGCAAAATAACATCCATCATATTATCAAACCACAATCTTCTCTTGGCTAAAGCATCTACCCTATATGTGGCAATTTAAGTAATACAAACACGTTACAGACACCCCGACCTTGCCAAGAAAAATACACAAAAATTCATAATTCAAAAACGGAATCAAGGCAATCGAATATATATAAAACAAACATGTGGAAGAGAACCAGTGAATATGACAATGCCACGTAACAAAACATCATGCACAGTCCATAATAATGGTTTATTATACGTATATTTGTGCTCTACATCCGTGTGATGTCTGCTACGACTTGTGGTGAGCCGTTCACTTCACTGATAGACTTTGGTATCTGGCTGAGGTGGCTGATATGCTGGCATGCATGAGTGCGCACACACACACATACACATACATAGACACACTCGCACACATACATAGACACACATACACACACACAGACAAACACACACACAAGCAGACACACTATTTCAACCACCCATTCCTACCCACACCCATACTATTTTAAAATAATATAATGTGTCAGCAGGATGGCATTCAAAAGTTATATTGTGCAGTTTCAGAATTCCATTTCATACAAGCAAAAATCACATTTAGACAACCCACATCTGCTGTATCTTGCAGCCTTAACATTTACGGGGTGCAGCAAGATCTGAAAGAACCTTTAGACAACCAAATTTATGGGGTGTTGCAAGATTTGAAAGAACTCTTAGACAATCAAATTTATGGGGTGTTGCAAGACCTGAAAGAACCTTTAGACAATCAAATTTATGGGGTGTTGCAAGATTTGAAAGAACTCTTAGACAATCAAATTTATGGGGTGTTGCAAGACCTGAAAGAACCTTTAGACAATCAAATTTATGGGGTGTTGCAAGATTTGAAAGAACTCTTAGACAATCAAATTTATGGAGTGTTGCAAGATTTGAAAGAACTCTTAGACAATCAAATTTATGGAGTGTTGCACCTTTAGACAATCAAATTTATGGGGTGTTGCAAGATTTGAAAGAACCTTCAGACAGTCAAATTTATGGAGTGTTGCAAGATTTGAAAGAACCCTTAGACAATCAAATTTATGGGGTGTTGCAAGATCTGAAAGAACCTTCAGACAGTCAAATTTATGGGGTGTTGGAAGATCTGAAAGAACCCTCAGACAGTGTGCTTGTATCTTGGGACTTGTTTCTTGCGGCACAAAGCTTGTACTTGTAGGTGCTAGTTCCTCCAGGCACCAGAAACCTGTCATGCCCAACTGGAAATCTGACATTACTTTGAGGGGTTTTACAACAAATGTTGTACGCCCCTGTTGACACAATTTTATATATAGACCACTTACAAAGAGAGGGCTACTTCACCCTTTCCTGTCAGGGCTAATCTGAGCTGAGTGAGATATAGCATTCTAACAAACAGAGGAAGAACTCCATAAAATAAGTACTCTCACAGGAATCGAGCTGACGTATTCCGCCTGCAATGGTGAATAGCATAACTACTAGAGATAGATGCCAGTAGTTTGTGTGGGTTCCCATCCTGCCATGAACTCACCATCACTTTCACAACTCACACACACAGAGATACGTCACACCATTACGCCTGGACTCACCAGCAACAACAAAGGGATCTGCTATGTACAATGATATGAGTTAAAATATACTTTGCTATGAGCATAATATGTGTACAGAAGATTCAATGCTTTTTTTTAGTTCAACCAGTCTGTTAGAGGAAATTCAATGTTGCACATATACACACATGATGTAAGCACATGTTCTATCAGCATACATTTTCTCTCTCTCTCTCTCTCTCTCTCTCTCTCTCTCTCTCTCTCTCTCTCTCTCTCTCTCTCTCTCTCTCTCTCTCTCTCCTCTCTCAGTCAGACGCAGACACACATTCACAGGCACGCGCACACACATACACATCCACACACAAAAGCATTCAGGTTTTTTTCTAGTTTTTGCATCGCTTAGTAACATGAAAAACGGTCTCACATCAAAATGTATGCGATTAGCACCAAGTTTGAGTACAAACATACCTACAAACACACACACACAAACAGATAGGCTACATGTATGCCACTTACTCTCCAAAAGTCTCCAATATCCTATTTCACAGTTCTCGGAGAATCAACATCCTCTTGTGGGGCAGGCTATTACTGCTACTATTAACTGTACACACACATACACACACACACACACATATTCACACACACACACACACTATATGTGTATATATACATGTTACCATGGGTTGTGGCTGTTATACACCATATCAACAATGAGATGTAGATTCAGTTTTTCAGCAAGACTATAATGAACTTTGTCTCAACACAACAAAGCGACCTCAGCTACCTCCAAAACACTGCAAAAGTCCTCGAAAACATATCCAAACTGACAGCGTTGTAGCAACAACCGAAATCACTGAAATGAACAGAGTCCCCACAGCTCCTGTGTTGTTGTCACTACTGCTTTGAGATATCATGGCACTGGGTTTTTCTTTGTGTCATCAGTCGACATACAGGCCACTAGTTGACACGACGCCATTCAACATATAGGCCACCAGTTGACACGACGCCATTCGACATATAGGCCACCAGTTGACACGACGACAGTCGACATCATATAGGCCACCTGTTGACACGACGCCAGTCGACATATGGGCCACCACCAGTTGACACGACGCCAGTCGACATATAGGCCACCAGTTGACACGACGCCAGTCGACATACAGCCATACTGTCTGCTTCCTTGTAACACATCTGTGCACCATTTTGTTTGAATGCATAGAACATACTTTCTGCCACTGTCATTGTGTCTTACTGGAGCCAGCGCGCCAAGCGTACCAACACACAAACGTACTAACACAAACATACACAGATATTTCAACCCCTGGCTTCCACTGATCACCTGAGGAGAGGGCGGCCAGAGTGAGGGTGTAGATTGTTCATTCAAATTACTTTCAGGTCGAACTATCCACATCTCCAGGCTATATATATGAATCATAATATCATGATGGCGTTGAAGTGTTTTTATCAACACACAAGCACAAGTCTCCTGCTTGCCATCATCACACCCATGTATTCACACCTAGACACGTACACACACTCAAACATACAAGCACTCGCACACACGCACGCACTCTCTCATACACACAAACATGACTCCAAAACAACTTTCAATTTTCTCTTCTCCTTTTCTTCTCTTTCTCTCTTTCTTTCACAACAAACTTGCCCAGCACCAAATCTCATCCACCAGAGAGGATTCACAAATTCCTCCCCCCTCCCCCTCCTGCAGTCGTAGACAGTTGACACAGTCATCTGGTGCCCCACATTGTCCGAGTCAACACACAATCCTGTTATGTGCTGGCAACACACAATAACGCGCTGCTGCGCTGTCGGCTGCTGTCTGTCCGGGTGGTTGTGGGATGGGGGGGGTCACACTAAGTGACCTCTCATCTCAGCCCCGACGGGCAAGGTGTCGTGTGGGGACGGAGAGTACTGCTGGTGGTGGGGTGACGGGCTGCGGGCCGTGGGCGAGGTGGGCCCACGGTAGCTGGGGTTTGGCACGATGTTGGGCGACAGGAGCGAGGAAGAACCTGCAGGGGGAGACAAATCCAAACACAGGAACTGGTTAGTCGGTAGCTACAGTGGTGAAATCTCATCGTACAAATAAACTTACGGCCACTATTGACCCTACATAAGCATAAGGCACAGACTCATGGAAACTCTTTGCATGACAAAAAGCTAGATTCTGGCACCAGGATGCCAGCGTGGCTAATGTACTCACAGATCTCAGTGTCAGTTGGTAAAGTTTAGTACTAAATCACAGTAATCGTTTCTCGTCAGTGTAAGAGAACATAAAACAGACTTTACGCTACAAAACACTAACATGGACAAGCAAGTCCTATACCTAATATACTTTCGTCTGTCACTGTCAGTGGTTTAAACACAATAAAAACAAATCACTTTGTTTAATTTTCTCAGGTCTTTGCATGTAGGTCTAAAAGCAGGATGACCAACAGGATCCAAAAGCCCATTATTGAAGGCCACTGCAATATAAGGTTCAAACATATTTTCTATGATGTTAGCCTAGAGTGCCCCCCTCCAAAAAAAATACACAGTGAACACATAAAAAGAATGGACCTTATGTTCATCAACATCAAACTTTAACATGTCTATGAAAAACAGTCCAACAGATGAGTGAGTATTTCTCTAGACTCAAGTGCTTACATCAAGAATCTAGACAGTCTTGGGGGGGGGGACCTAAGTAATTGCACTAAAATGAGTATTGTAGTGATCCAGTGTGTGCACCTAAAGGGTGATGTTTAATACGATCCAAATGAACTTTAAAAACTTTTTTACAAAAAATGTTTGTTTGGTCGCTGCCCCAACCTACAGGAGTGCCATGCTCAGTCATGTGCACACATTGGCCATGTTCTCTGTGCTACTGTGCTACACTCACACAAGGATCCCACTACTTCATACTAAACTTTACCAACAGACACTTTCTAGATAAGCCTTAGCCTTCAAATCCTGACAAATGATTGCTTACTTACTACTACTTACCAGGCATCACATAAATCTGTAATGAACTATGGGGATAGACAGTAACGTTAGCATATATCTATAAAACAACCAAAATACTTCTGTAACTCTCAGCATGCAGAAAGCTATTCCTCTTTTGTAAACAGCTGAGTTTCTCCATCAACTTGTCAGCATCACAAACAAGCCTACAACTCCACTCTTATTTGACCTAGTTATCTAAAATCAACACCAAACAGGAGAAAGGAATGGTCTGAGTTATAAACGTAAATTTGATCATTATAGAGAAGATGGATTGGCTGATGTTTTGAAGACTTTTTCTCCAACAGTCAGCAACCAGCAAACTGTGAACTAGCTGACCTGGCACTAAGAGTCTAAGACTAACATTGGTAAGTTAGACAATAGTTTAAAAAAGCGGTTCAAATAAGAGAACATTCCATGAAGCAAACATTAGCACATGAGCAACAGTCAAAACTGGTTTTTACACAACCTCAAACTTCAGATCCCGCCTTCCAAAACATGTAGAGATGAGAAAAAAGAAATCAGGCACTCGACAATATTTAGGCAATATTTAGACAATAGTTAGGCAAATAAAGTTATTGGTATAATCTACAAGCTCGTTAGGATGTCTTGACTTTAATGAAAAAAATAACCATCTGTCTTGAATAGAAGTCTAGGTATTTGCCATTTTGGTGACTTCCAAAGCTTGTATGTCCTTGGAAACAGCAAACGTCAATTTTTTTAGCCATTGGTCAACATTTTTCAGTAAAATCCACACGGAAAAATGTGTTTTTAAATGGACATAAAAAGGTGTTGAGCCCCTCATTCCCCAATTATTAAAATATATTTTAATAAACATTGCCCAACGGGCAGTTGAAAAAAGGTGGGTGTTTCTTTTTTTTCAATTTCATTATTTTGACGAGCGTCTGATTTCACCACAATGCCACACATATGCAGATAGATGTATACATACTGTAACTTCTCTGAATCATTCACAATTTCTATGTACTGTACCGACGCAGTCTTGAACTACAGAAGTAGATATCTGGACAGACTTCTGATTCACACAGTGACAAAATCCTGTTTACTGCGTCTCACTAGCTACCAACTCACTAGCTACCAACACATAACACTGTCTGTGTTCATCGGTGCTTTCTGAGAGAAACATTTACCAGCTCAGGTGCATCCACAACCAGTGAAAGTCAAAACTTCAACCACACTCAATTCTTCCAGAGAAAAAAAAAAGGTGCAAAATTGTCAGGGTTAAATCGCCCGTCGCAACACTGTCACGTTATTTCAGAGACGATTTCAAATCTTCACACAAAAAGTTCTGGAGAGGGCGGGAGTCGGTCTACAAGAACAAATACTGCACATAGAGTTAGGTGCCTGTGAGCATCTGCTGTACCGACAAATGAGGCGAGTATTTGCATGTGTTTGTAAGTGTGTGCATTTACTATCATCTGCATTAAAAAAGTATAGTCTACTGTACTTCTGAGAGAATGAATAACAAACATTTATGCCCCTGCTTTGTACCTGAGTGGTGTGATGAAGACCGAAGTGTGATGAGGAAGTAAAGTGTGAAGTCAAGAAAAGTTACTGTCCACTGATACTACACAGTTTTGTGGGACAACTCTTTCCTATACAAATGAATTCCAGTTCTATCATCGACTTAACAAGTGCATAAAAAAAGTTATACAGTTAATAAAAATCAAGAAGACAAAGAACAAAACAGTAGTATTTCTGCAGTGAATCGTATCTGTGCTACTAAAACGGTTAGACCAGTGTGAGCAATTAATCAAAATTTCAGCTGATCACCTTCCGCCAACGTGCAGTATACCCAGTACACTTGTCATGAATACATAACCAGCAAAAGTCAAACATTAGAATTCTCCATAAAAAGTTATTCTTCTACAAAAGCAAGTAAAAAAATATAGATGTCAAAACACTTTCTTGCCTGTTAATATTCCTGCCATTAGGATAAACACTCAGAGCAGAGAGCTGTCCACTACTCGCAACCTGTCCTTTCTTGTCAGATCTCCATTTTGTTAACAGTGAAAATGTGACTTCTTCTTAGGTTCACTCTTTGCTATGAACTGTTTTCATGGTTATTAAAAATGGAGAAACGACAAGAAAGCACTGAGGTTGCGTACTGCTCCGCACAGAAACCGTCTCCCCTCTGTGCTCACCCGACAATGATACAGTAAACCAAAATTTTCTGACAAATTCAATACACATATCGTCCACCAACAGTTCAAATTATGTATAAATTATAAAGCCCAAAATTTAGATTGTTTTAAAAAATTGCTTTTTCTTAATCTGTGATATCGGTTGGGTGTGCTCCAGAAATATTTTGTCAAAATTCAAATTTTATAGGCCAATGTAAAAAAAGTAAGAAAAGATAAACAATAAAATATAATTAAAATTGTTACAAGAATGAAACAATATGAGGGGGTGAGATGCAAAACCCGCTAAGCGACATTTTGGGAATAAAATCGAGAATTTTTGCTTGTTACCGGCTATCAGATGCACAAAGTGTTTTCAGCCAAAACCTTACACATCTCCATAAAAGCCACCAAAAAAATCTTTTTACACATGTTTGTGTGTATAGCAGCATTTAAAAAAGCTGATTTTCTCAAACGTGCTAAAAAGGATGTAGCGGGTTTTGCATCTCAGCCCCTCATATTTTCTCTCTCCTGAAAATTTGAGTTTTCTGGGCCTAGTACATTTTATACATTTTAACAACTCGCTAACGATTTACAATCTGGACGTACAAGCTGCCAAACACGTACACCAATCCCATGCAGTCAGAGAAATTATGACAAAAAGGTTACCAGCTGTAAAAAATGCACTTCCATCAAATGAAGCTACGTACAGTAAACATAATTTACATTTCCAACAAAATACAAGTACATTCAGACAGGCATACAAACACCCTTGCAAAGGCATACAAAAACACACACACACTCAAAAAACACACACACATACCAACACAAACACCCCCCCCCCACACACACACACACACAAACGCTCCCTTTGACTGACTGAACCCACCTACAACAAGTTGCAGACAAGAATTAGCACCACCAGCAGTGTGGTGCCCTCACCAGCACCAGAGACAAAGACCCCACCACCGAGAGGCACAACATGCGTGTGCCATGTGCGTCACTACTACCTGACTCACACCTCCATGACAGACACCGGCCACGCACAGTCGTGACCTTGGCAGCACGTGTCGCAAGGTGTGTCTGGATGGAGACACACAAGGACCAAAAGGTTCCAGGATCATCATCACAACAGAGAGTCCAGGATGGGAAAAATTTAACTTTTAAAAAGTCAGGACTTAACTTTGAACAATACCATGGCTGGATCGATAAAAACAGCCTGGATCGATAACAACAGCAATACCATGAATGATGGCAAATGAAAGATACTCTGTCCATGTCTAGTTTTAGTTAAAGTTTTACTGCACTAGCAACACAATAAGGTCCATGTCTTCATCACAAAATATTATTTTGACTGATAGTGAATACTTTACGCTCCCACCCTGTTGTGTGCAGTGTCGCATGCGGGCAGACGGGTGAATATACTTGATAAACTATCTTCCTCACAAGGGAATTGAACTCATTATTTTTCTCATTCCTGGAGAAGACTAAACCATTACACCACAGACGCTCATCCACGAATGCTGACTTTTTAGACTCAGGTAAAAACAAAGCATACACACAGAGACAGACACACACACACACACACACACACACACACACAGATACACACAAAGAAACAATCAAACTTGCACTCACTAAGACATAGTTCTACCATGCACCGAGACCTACACAACACACATGCAGAAGAAATCAGGGCTGACGACTGGCTATGAAAAAAATGCAAACGTTTTGGACCCCCTAGAAACGTGCACACACAGGGGGACTCAAAATTCATGGATCTTCTCACACATCTTGTATCAAGACTACCGTTGTCTATACAGAGCAATATCTGGATGATTCCGGAAATCCAAATTTCAAGATTTATCGCAAATTGCAGCGGTTCTGATAAATACATCAAAGGGGTAAAGAAACTACCAACATCAATTTTTCAGAGTCAAGAATGTGACTGGTTTCGTCGATATGTCTTCTAAAAGACCTAGTATATTTGTTTAACATCGCTGGTGAAAGTTTGGTATGTACCCACCACAAAAGGATTTTGGTTCAACAGAAACTATCGATTAGAAAAGGTACAAAAATTCACAAAAAAGAGTAAGAAAACATGCCGAAAATTTTCAACTGAGAAACGATTAAAAAGTATCTGTGACAGATTCCCATCCAAAGGGGCTCTCCAGGGACTTGTTGAAAACGACAATGTTTGTATGGCAACTACTTTTACATCTGAACCCTTCAGACCAAAGTCCACCTGTGCTGGTCCCCCCCCTTGCGAGTGTCCACCTTCACATGTTCACAGACACAAGCGTACAAACACACAACGAACACAACAGTGAGCACACACTTTTCTCTCCACCATCCAGTTCCACAGTCAGTCATCTATCCACCCACCCGCTGCATTCATTCAGAATATCCGCATAGATCTATACATGATGAAAACCCGACCAAAACGTACCGCAATGACAAAAAAACACATTCCATTTTTTTTTTTAAAGCGGAACATGAAAATTAAATAAACACTGTCACATTTTTCTACCCAACAAAATATGTGTTACAAATGTCAGTAACGTGTTTCCTCTAGAAATGTAGAAAAAAGGAAAAACATGACGGCTAAAAGAACACAAAAAGGCAGAATATGAGGGAAGGTCCTCACCTCAGTCAAAACGCTGGGAATGTATGGAGAGAAAATGGAAAAAAACGTTCAGGTTTGCAATGGACATTCTTTCCCCACCCTCTCACATCATACAAAGTAGATCTAACTTTTTCCCCAACTTGTGTTCAATTTAACAGAACAGACCCTTATAGGGCACACAATGTAAGACCTGCCAATTACTCCAGGACTGAAATTAGAGTTTATGGATAAGAAATCCTAGTCTCCTGCGCAACCCTTGTAGACTGATATTACGTTACAAATTAAACACGGCAAATAAATGTATATAGCAAATATACGTGCAAATTAGACGCAAAAAAAAAGTGTATTTTTGTGTCATTTACAAAACTCGTACAAATAATGCATATAAACTTGTAAATTTTCTCGTCATTAAATAAATCGCTCAAATATTGCACCAAAAAAAACCCACCTGTATCTTTGCATGTTATTTAAGGTATGTTAAGTATGACCAATGAAACCACGGGGTTTAAGAAAAAAGAAAGGCTTTATGCAATCCAACCGGAGTTCTTCGTAGGCACAAAACAAAAAAATTAAATCGGAGGGCTCCAATTTCATCGGAGTATTTGGCAGGCCTACAATGTCCACAACAACAATGTGACACGAGAGACAGGGCATCAGCCATCCTTGACCTACACCCAGCTCCTGGCCACAGACTAACTACAGCTGTGCTAGATGCTGCAGACAACTCTGACCAGATGCTGAAAAGTACTGATAAGAACAACAAGTCATTAACGAGCACGTGTGAATTGTGCCGTGCCATGCTATCTCCTCTAATTTAGTCTCTGCAAAATCAGCAATCATTTGAGAATAAGTCAGCTCATAGTTGAACATGGTTTTTTTTCACCTACTTCTATAAAACTATGTCTTCAGTTTTTCACCCTACAATCTGACAATCAGTGAGAAATGTCAAGATCATAATAGTACAACATTCATATTTCTAGACAAAAAAACCCCCCAACTAAACTAGACTGAAAATGATAAATATACATCTAAAATTGATAAATTACCATCAATCAATAAAACAACGTTGGGCCTGTACAACTGTCACCACAACACCAGTTTCCACCTCCATCAGCTACATGGGATGTCTCTTTCAAACAAACAAACAAACTAAACAAACAAAAAACAACTTCATACAAAAATCACGTTTGTCTCTGCACACATGGAAAATGTTGGAAGCCCTTTAGAGTCAGCACAGATGTGCCTGTACAAAACATGGCATGCATTCACAGCTGTCAGGCACACAGACATCAACTTCTTATCCTCCTGTAAGCGCAATACCAAATTGAACACCCCCCCCTTTATATTCAATACCTTTAGGCTTCTGAATGACAATAGCTTTTGGGGTTCTTTTTTAACTAACAACTTAGCACCATAATTCCTCTTCTTCCTTTTCAAACCAGATCTGAAACCTATGTGTGCAATCATGGTTCGCCACTCATTCCCACGTTTCCATGCCCAAGTGCTCTTGAAACTACTACACCGCTATCCTGGTCTTCTCACCATCACCTATTTTGTACGTCAAGAGACAGTGGAATCCGGCGCTCGTCAGTTTTTGGACATATAGAGTTATTGGTATCATCTTAAATGTTATTCATTAGTCTTGCTTTCGATGAAAAAAATATCCATTTATCTTGAATAGAAGTCGAGATATTCGCGATTGAAGGAGGTGGGGTCGCCTGGTTTCAGTATTAAAATTAGCGAGAAAATGGCCGGCAAAGTTCGGTAACTTCAATAGCTTGAGAGTTCTTAAAAACTGATAAATTACATATTTTGAGCCTTCAATCAACATGTTTCAGTCAAATTCGAACGCAAAAGTGTTTTATACAGACATAAAAGATATAGAGCTAAACAACAGAAATTCAGTAAAAAAATTGCTAAACTGGCGGGAAAATGCATTATTCTTCGATTTCATTATTTTGACGAGCGCCTGATTTCACCACGATGCCTCACATATAATATGTCACGACACAGTGGAATCAGGCACTTGTCAGTTTTTGGACATATGGAGTTATTGGTATCACCTTAAAGGTTATTCATTTGCCTTGCTTTCGATGAAAAAGATATCCATTTATCTTGAATAGAAGTCGAGATATTTGCGATTGAAGGAGGTGGGGTCATCTGGTTTCAGAAGTAAAACTAGTGAGGAAAATGGCCGCCAAGTTTGGCGACTTCCAAAGGTTAAGAGTCCTTAGACACCTCAAAGTTACATTTTTTGTGCCTAAAATCAACGTTTGTCCATAAAATCCACACATGAAAGTGTTTTTGAACGGACATACGTGTTGGGCCAAAAAACACAAATTCGAAAAAAATGTCCAAACTGGCCAAAAAAGCCGATTTCTTGGATTTCATTATTTTGACGAGAACCTGATTTCACCACGATGCCTCACATGTGTTCTTCAAGTATATTATTTTTGTTTATCTTTGACCCTTTCGCCTTCTATTTTTACTGTGAGAAAAAGATGTTTAAGACTTTTAAGTCTTCAAGTGTCTTTGGAACTTCATTTGTCTCTACCAGATTGTTTTTATGAACAACCCGCCCATGCCGGCTAGTCAACCCCTGACTAGCTGCAAAATTTCAGGCTAAATTTATCAGTTTAATAGAAAAGCTACAAGCATCTCTATGAATTTGATCAAGTCTCCCTCTGTGAAATCTGTCAAACACTCCCACCTTGAAGTGTGAGCAGCCAAATATTTCGTGCAGATAGTCATTCAAGTGCCACAACTCACTTTAGCTACAATTTAAAAAATCTTTCTAAAAAAAAGTGCAAAGCAAAAATGTTAGAAAAGCCTTCACTACAATGACTCTTTCTGACTCACCAAGTCATTTCTGACTCACAGAGTCATTCTAAAACACAAAGAAAACAAATCAAGCAGTAAAAGAAATTGTTTGAGTAAAAAATAAAGAAGTTAAAGAAACCGTAAGTCAAACAGCTTTTGTGCGTGTGTGTGTGAGTGTGATCACTACCTTAGTGTGTCAGTGCCATGCTTGATGCAGAAACATGTCAGAAGTGCTATTACCTTCAAGCCGAGTAATTTACATAACAAAAAAAGTGTCTATGTCAGACAAAACAATTTTTAAAAAATCATAATAATTTCAAAAATCCATTATGCTTATTTCAAGCAGAAAAAAAGGTGAACCCAAGCTGTAAAAAGCATTTTATGCATCCAGGAAAAAAAGTAGCCAAAATGCGAGCAAAAATAGTCTTATTTTAAGCATTAAAAAAAAGGGAGTCACCTCAAGCATTAAAAAAGTTGATCTCAAGCATTACAAAAAAAAGTGTGTTTCAAGTGCAAAAATGCCATGGCTAAAAATCTCCCAAAATAAACACAAGCGTCTACAAGTCGAGCAGTAGCAGGGGAGGTAAACATAGAAAAGCACACCGAAACAATCAGCCAGGGGACACGAATCAGCCAAGGGCAGCAACTCCATCAGCACGACGACTTGCGCCGGCGTTTGGTCGGGCGTGGTCGTCTACCTGGCGTGGGTCCGTAGCGGGGCGGGGCTATCTCCTCGGGGTCGTAGTTGCGGGCTGGAAGCGGCGGGATGTAATCACCTCCCCTGCTGGAAGAGCGGGTGGGAGGGGGAGGGGGGGTCTTACCCGATCGACTGGACGGCCGGCTAGGTGGGCGGTCTGACAGCTCGTTCATACCCTGGAAGGGGAGAAGGGGGCGGGGGGACACAGTGACATCAGTTTCAGAAGAAAATTTATGATTATCTCAGCAATGAGAGATGGTTTCAAAAGATTGACAGAGTTAGCGACAGTTGTGTTAGTCTTAGAAGACAGGGATACTCATAGAAGACAACAAGAATCTTAGAAGACTGGGACAGTTTCCAAAGACAGGGAGTTAGTAACAGAAAAAAAGAATAATCTTAGAAGACACTGACAGTCTTGGAAAACAGGGATACAAGAACGATCCGGGAAGACAGGGATAGTCATAGAAGACAGAAATAAACACGACAAAAGACAAAGACACTTACAAATGACAGACATACTTATAGAAGACTGAGATAGTCATGGTAGACAAAAGATAATCATAGATAATATAGTCTCAGGAAACACAGACAGTCAAAATGCAATGAATGACAAGAATAACATTAGAAGACAGGGAAAGTCGATGTACAAAATGGTAATCTGAATGCGACAGTCTAGGGTGGAACCTGAGCATCAGAGCCGTCTTACCTTGCCACGAGAACCACTCTTGAACTCGTAAATATCTCCGTTCTGCACGCCGTTCTCATAAAATCCCTTCTTGCTTCTCGGATGGGCCATCTTGTACGGATCTGTGGACAGGTAATAAATATCGACTATCATCAGTCTGACTTACAAATTCTCAATGAAGTGCCCACTCTTGATGGTGAGCGCAAAACATCTGAGAGAATACATATCTTTAAAGTAATAATAATAATACAGTATAACACGGATAGCTCGAATTCATCGGGACCGGCCTCGGCAGTTCGAGGGATCCGTAGTTCGAGGGATACCTTACGGATATAAAGAAGAAGAAAAAAACGGGACCGCAGGCACAGTAAAGCGGATGCATGATTGCGAGTCTTCTGTGTTCAAACTATTCATGTGATATTGTGTAATTGCATTTATACAGCGCATATGCATGTTCCAGAGCATGCCCTATGCAGTTTATACCTATTATTACCCCCAAAAAACCTACAACGCTCAGGAACATTCTCAGCTTCCTACATAGCATAGAGTGCAAACAGACAATTAAGCGCTCAAACACTACTGACGAGATCTTTCGCCATCAATAGGCAGGTAAGCATTCCCACCAGTGTGATGTGAGGAATATTCATGGGCACAATGTCGGGCCCTTGACAAGATTTGAACCCAAGACCTTTCAGTGGCGATTCTAAAGCCTAACCACTAGACCACTGGTGCCACTGTCTAGCCAATCATGCCCCCCTGTAAATGCTTCACCTCCACTTCGACACATCTACCATCATTTAGGAGGCAGGCTGCCTCTCAGGGCTCAGCCCAGTACAAAGCGATACAACACCCCAAAAAGTAGACGGGGATACAGTCCAATCTGCTGTAAACGGCCCCCTGTCCATGACAATCCCCTGTATAATCCACCCCTTGCACCATTGTGTTTTTTTCTACATTACAAAGACACTGTCCCAGACAATCGCCCGAATAAACCACCACTCCCCCCACCATTGTGTTTCTTCTACATGATGATGATAACACTGTCTAAGACATCCACCTGTTTAAGACAACGGCTTTTTTCCTCAACAATGGGAGACCACCTTAGACAGTTTAGACTCCCCCC